TCTCAGTGCTGGGGGCTACCGGAGACTGGGATGTAGCGGAGGGAAGGGGGTCGTGTCTCAGTGCTGGGGGCTACCGGAGACTGGGATGTAGCGGGGGGCAGGGGGTCATGTCTCGGGGCTGGGGGCTACCGGGGACTGGGATATAGCGGAGGGAAGGGGGTCGTGTCTCAGTGCTGGGGGTTACCGGAGACTGGGATGTAGTGGGGGGCAGGGGGCCGTGTTTCGGTGCAGGGGGCTACCAGGGGCTGGGATATAGCAGTGAGGGAGGATGACAGGGCCGTGCTTCTGGTGATTCTCCCTTTTCTCTCCAGGCCAACGAGAAGCGGAAGACAAACTCTCCTGATGCGGCTCTCTGGGCCCGGAAGTCCTTCCGGTTCTCCCTTCTCAGCATCGGGGTCTGGGTGTCTCTGCTCATCCTGGTGCCGCTGCTCATGGGACTCATCTCTTATCTGATTGCCAGGGCTGAGTGATCTCCTGCCACATCCTCATTGGCTCTGAGGGATCAGGGGGATTCCCAGGTCTGATTTCTCTCTCTTGGGACTGCAGGATGGGAGTTGTCCTGGCTGCATCTCACCACAACTGGCCTGGAATCTCCCCAGCCCTGCCAGTTCTGGAGAAGCTCTGGCTTCTCCGTGGCTTGGGACTGAGACTTCAGAGAGACCAGGGTCGGGAGTGGGACAGGATCGTCTGTGACTGTCTAGTCCCAGCAGAGATAGCGATAAAGGAACCTAAAAACATCAAGGAAAAATCCAAGGCTGGTAGGGCTAAGGACCAGACTGATTCCGTTCCTAGACGGAGATGGTAAAGCTGTTAATAAGGATGTACAAAAGGTGCTTTGTATTTGGAAAGAAACAGGATGATGAACTCCTATCATATGAGGATGATGAAGTACTTTCCAGCCCATTAATGACCGAGGAGGATGTTAAACAACATCTACTAAACACCTTCCAATCACAGGCCCAGGGAACATGTCCCCAAACGTCCTAACGAAGTTGGCCGAGGAGCTCACAGGCCTGAAAATGTTAATTTTTAATAGATGTTGGAATGAAATTCCAGAAGACTGGTAGAATGCTAATACTGTGCCAGGCAAGCAGGGTGACCAGGGGAATTATAGGCTGGTTAGCATGACTTCGATCCTGGGCGACATAAGGGAAACGCTGATAAGGGATTCTGTCAACAAAGACTGAAAAGATGTAGTTAAAATCAGACCGCACTGTTTTATGGAAAATACATTTTTGTCAGACAAAGCTGATTTAATTCTTTAACAAGGTTACAAATTTGGTTGACAAAGGCAGTTGGGTAGCGGTAATATATTTAGGGGTTTTGTAAGGCAGTTGACTTAGACTCACTTAACATTCTGATTAAAAATATAGCACAATTCAACAGCAACAGAGCACAAGGGAAATGGATTAAGAACTGTCTGATGGGCAGCTGTCAATGGGGAATTATCCCTGAATGGGGGTGTTTCTAGCGGGGTTCTGCAGAGATTGGTACTTGGCCAGACACTATTTGACATTTTCATCAATGATCTGGAAGTAAATAAGTGTTGATAAATTTGCAGAGTGTCCAGCCTCTGTTCCGCTGGACACACAGAATTCACAGACCTGCTGTTCGTAAAGAAATGCTACACCTCAGCTTACCACAAGATCACTGCTCTGCTTAACACCCAGCACTTCTCTTTGATTATGGCGAAAAGAAGTACAGTGAAAGCAAACAACAGCGATTCATATAGTAGCAAGTAGGTAAAAGTATTAGAAACAAGGGGTTACATTTAAAACAAAATCATAATAAGCCTTCTAGAGTCTAGATTTAAATAACAAGACACTTTCCTGATCTAATGAAGTTTAGGTCACCCAAAGTCTTTCTCCCAGTGAGTAACAAGCAGGCCGGCTGTGATCTTAGTCATAAACAGGACAACTCTCCCTATTGTGTGGTGCTGCTTCCTGTAGATTGTGTGATCTCTTGTTCACTTTGCAGTCTTGATTAGCTGGAGGCTCCAGATGCAGATAGATTTACATTGTAAGACACACAATACACAATGGTCAGCCAGGGAGAGATAAGCGCCTCCGCCTTCAGTTGACCCGTCTTAACTTACACACCTTAAGACCACAATGTTCAGTACAGAAACGTAACTTCTTAAATATTATTATCATTTTGCAAAGATTAAGCTGATTAGCGGCCTACTGGCTCAGTGGAGACATCACATGCCCCTCCATTGGTGAATTATTATGCATATACCAGCCCCAGGGGATGCCTGTAAACCTCTGTGCATCACTTATGTCATCCGCCAGTTGGCACTAAGGGATCTCTGGGTCAGAGTAAGCTCGGCCCATTCAAACAAAAAGGGTCCTAATGTAACGCTGACAGACCCCGGTCGTCAGTGTGCGGAATTGAACCTGGGAGCGCTGGAGCTTAGTGCATCAGCCTCTGATTTAGATGGGGATTGGTCCTGATTTGAGCAGGGGGTTGGACTAGGTGACCTCCTGAGGTCCCTTCCCACCCTGATCTTCTATGATTCTCTACCGCATGAGCTAACAGCCAACTGGCTGTTAGTTAAGGCTGGAGAGGAGACTAATTTTCTCTCTCTCTCTAAGTGGTCTCGGCGCTACTAGATGGGACAGAACACCACACCCAGGTGTGTGGGTTACACTAACACAACCAAATGCAGAGCTATACTGCTGGGACTGAGAAACGCAGGCCAGAGCACACGAATGGGGGACTGTAGCCAGGGCAGCAGTGACGCTGAAAAGGATCTAGGGGTCAGAGCGGACAAACGAACGCCCAGCGCGGTGCGGGGGCAAGCAGGGGCTGATGTGAGCCGTGGATGGGGAGAAGGGGAGGAGCAGGAAGGTGAATCGGGCGCACTGGGGAGAGCGATACGGGCCCCTCCCCCCCGTTCACGTCCAGCCCAGATGCTTTATCCAAGTGTCAGGGGCTGGGCTCAGTGCAGGGGGGCTGGGGTGACATTCGCTGCCCTGGGCTCTACGGGGCCTCGGGGGCAGGATGGGCCCAGGGCAGCCCCCCACCGCAGCGCCCCCGACCCAGCCGCCCGAGGGCCGTGTCACAAGGGTCACCAGGGGCTGGGCCGTCACGTGACCTGGGGGCACTGCGGGGTCAGCTGGGGTCAGCGTTTGCCATGTGACAGCCCAGGGCACTGGTCAGGTCACCTGACCAGACTGCGGGGGGGGGGGACCCTTTGCATGAGGGCCCCTAACCCTGCCTCTGGGGTCAGAGGTCACCTGGCTGACCCTTTGCTGACCCAGGAAGCTGCCCCCCTAAGACCTCCCCCGTCTTCCCCGCTGGCTGGCCCTCTCTTGGCTCTTGATTGGTTAGCTATGCGGAACTACCCGCCCCCATCCTCAGCTGACTGGCTGCGTGGTTTGTCAATCGTGCTGCTCCACATTCCCGTTGATGATTGGTCAATTGAGCGCTCACTCAGAATCAAACCCCTCCTTCGACTCTTCATTGGTCCGGTTGACCGCCATTCACCACCCCGCAGCTCGATTGGCCTATCAGGCTGCAGCTTAATTCTTAGCTCCGCCTCTTATTGGCTCCCCGGCTCATGACCCCCGGCTCGCGACTCGCTCTTCCTACCTCCTGATTGGCCGTCTTCCCTCTCCTCCCATGTGGAGTGGGAAGGGGGGCGGGGATAGTGCGGGCCAATCGGGGCAGGCGTCGGGGGCGGGGCTGGGAATCCGGTTCCAAACCGAGGTGCCGGGTGAGTGTTGGTGGGGAGCCGGGAGCGCGAGTCCCGGGGGGCGGGCACGTGAGGGGCTGGAGGCACACATGGGGGAGGGGGGAAGCTGGAGGAGGGGACACACGTGGGGGGGAGGGGGATGCCCTGTGTGGGGGGGAAGCTGGAGGAGGGGGCACACATGGGGGGGAGGGGGATGCCCTGTGTGTGGGGGAAGCTGGGGGAGGGGGCACACATGGGGGGCAGGGGGACACCCTGTGGGGTCCCCTGTTCAGGATCAGGGCACCCTGTGGCAGGGCGCTGGCTCTGACCCGGTCAGAGGCTGTGGCGGGTGGGATCCCCAGCTTGGCTGGCTGCACCCCGCACATTCCCCCCTTGTTCACTCAGCATCACCGCCCCAACTGGTCTTGTCAGCTGGGCCCCTTGGTGAGGGGAGATCCCCGCTGCCACCCAGCCTGCCCTCGCTGCCCAAGCCACCTTGGCCTGGCTTAGCTCCCTCTCCCTTCTCCTTCTGTCCATCCCACCCGGAGCTCCCCTGCCCTCCAGCTCCTGTCTAGACCCTTCCAAGATGGTGCCCCCCCAAAGTGACTCTTGCTGAGGTCTGATCACCCCAAGCCTGGGGGCTGGGAATGGGGTACAGTGAAAGGGGGGCTCTCTGGCTTGGGGAAAGGGTGTTGAGAGGGGGGCAGATGGCTGGGGAGGGGAGGCACATGAGTGGGGAAGGGGGGTTCTGTGGGAGGAGGCTAAGATGGAGGGGCACATGGGTGGGGAGGGGGCACTCTGTGGGAGGGGTCACATGGGTGGGGCTGGCTGAGGAGGGATGCGAGGAGGTGGGTGGTCTCTCTCGTTGTTCAGAGGGGAGAGGGAAAGGGGGTGGGCGAGCTGGAATAGGGAGTGCTGGGGAAGAGAAGTGGGGAACTGGGGGAGGTGAAGTGGGTTGGCTGGGGGAGGGAATGGGGTCAGCTGGTTGCGCTGGGGGTCTCCCATGCTGGAGGGGAAGGTGGTGTGTGTGTGTGTGTGTGTGTGTGGTGGGGTTGGGGTT